AAGGAATTTTTTTTTTTTTTTTAAGAGGTGAGGTTTCACCATATTGGCCAGGCCAGTCTTGAACTCCTGACGTCAGGTGATCCACCCACCTTGGCCTCCGAAAGTGTTGGGATTACAGGCGTGAGCCACCATGCCCGGCCAGATTCAAGGAAATTAATAAAAACCCAGAGTGCTGGAGCAAGACTATCTCATGCTGTGACCCTCAAGATGGAAGCAATTTCTGTTGTCTGAAAGGAAGGAAAGTGCTTCCTTTTTGAGAGTTACTGTTTGAGAAAAGCAACCTTGATGTTGATACTGATATTTGCAGTCTGTCTGCAGAGTATACTTATAATCAGACTTGGGTGATGTTGAGGTTTCGTTTCTTTCTCCAAGCCGGGGTCTCTGCCCTGGTTGGAATGCAGTTGCATTTCCGACCTAGACCTCCTGGGCTCAACTGGTCCTCTTGCCTCATCCACACAAGTAGCTGGGATTATAATACAGGGGTGTGCCACCATATTTGGCATATCTTTCAATTTTTTGTAGAGATGGGGTCTTACTCTGGCCAGGGTGGTCTCAACTCCAGAGCTGAAGCAGTCCTGCAGGTGGAAACCACCTTGCCCATTTTAAAGATGGTTGACATGGCCAGGCATAGTGGGGCAGACACAGAGTCCCAGCTACGGCAGAGGCTGGGATGGGTGGGTCCCTGGATCAAGGCTATACCATGCATTGATCATACCTTTCAATAGTGACTGTACTCAAGATCCCATCTCTCTTAAAAAATACATTACATGGCACCTGATTCCAGAGACTCCATTTGTGTTGGTCAAACAATGGCCTCCTATAAATTTAGTGTAATCAATTCAAACCATGCTTCCTTCATTAAGAGAGTAAATGAGCCTCCAAGTCTGTCCAGTCTTTTTGAGACAGAGCTTCGCTCTTGTCACCCAGGCTGGGATGCAATGGCATGATCTTGGCTCACTGTAACCTCTGCCTCCTGACTTCATGGAATTTTCCTGCCCCAGCCTCCTGAGTAGCAGGGATTACAGGTGCCTGCCACCATATCGGGTTACTTTTTGTGTTTTTAGTAGAGATGGGGTGTCACTATGTTGACCAGGCTGGTCTCAAACTCCTGACCTTATGATCCACCCTCCTCAGCTTCCCAAAGTGCTGGGATTACAGGCACGAGCCAATGCGCCCGGTTGATAGTGTATATTCTTTTTTTT